AGAGAGATCCCTTTGGGGGGGAGTAACCCTGGAAAAAATTCCCAAAACAATTTGTTGGCTCCTAAAGGCCCCAAAAATTTCTCAATTTTGGGCCCCAAGGCCCCAAGAATACGCCATTTTGGCCCCAAGAGGCCCAAAAATTTAATTTCCAAATTTTGTGGGCCACAGAGGCCCGAAAAAGTTTCAAACATCTTGGCCAATAGAGGCCCAAAAATTCGCAATTTGGCCAACAGAAGGCCGCAAAAATTCACAATGTTGTTGGCCTTAAAGGCCCAAAAATTTCCACATTTGGCCCCAAAGGGCCCAAAAAAAAAAAAATTTCGTTTAAGAAACTTAACGGGCCTTATCGAAAAAGTCGAGGTGGGTCCAGCCGCTAAGCACTTCTACCTTACATATCACATACCATTGGGTCCTATCGCTAAGTGTCCTACCCTAACCAATGCTAAACCGCTAGCATTGTTTGGTCATACCACCGCCACAGTCACAAGGGTCAAGTCCAAATACCTTATCCCTTACAACTACCCTACCGGTCACACTAATCTCACATACCTATTGAAAACACCTTATAGGTAGGATAGTCTAATCTCATTTTGACAATGTCCTTTTATGGCAGGTAACCCTCCAAAGACCACCTGTACCCGAACACACGCAACTGAGGGCTCTCGACCCACAAGGTCCAACAACCCCGAGTGTGGCAGCCAATGTATATCACTGTCCGGAGCGATCCAAAACTCATCGAAACACTGGAAGCCAGAATGGAGGCTAGAATGAATGGTAGGCATTGACTGGCCCAGAGGGACTGCCCTAATAGCTGAATCTAGGCGGTGGTAATTGGAAATGGGCTTCCCCGGCTGGGGGAGAGTGGACCTACCTACCTCTAAATCAAGGGTTCCGTGCTGCTGAAACCATACCAAAGACCCTGCGCTTAACCTGGATGAACATGCCCTCATGGAATTGCTTCTGAGCTGGAAGCTCAGAAGAATGAGAGAGAAGCTGGAATTGTTGGAAGGTCTATTATTTGGCCCTCAAGACGACGACAAGGAAAGTCGGTGGAGACCATGGACTCCTTGTCCTTGTTCCCGCGAATAGCAAGATTAACCTACAAAATTCAAAATGCCGCGAAAAAAAACATGGAATAAGTTTGATGGAAGTACCACTTGTCCGGCAAAACGCACCGAAAAAATGTAGTGTGGAGGATGCCCTCGAACGTCGTTTGGTGCCTGAATAGGCGAGCTACTTGCTCAGTTGTTTCAGCAATCTTTGACTGGCTGCTAGCATTTAAGTGGTTTGTAAGCTTGGATCGTTTCCAAAATGAAGAATGTTGGGAGGGAACATAATGCGAATGGGTTTCAACACGCAGTACCATTATGATATGAAGTGGATGTTACCTGCGGGGAAGCTAGAGAACCACTAAACAAATATTGTAACAATGAGGGGCCTTTCTCCTCGCTTCCTTTCGACGTGGAGAGCCAAAGCTAGCATCAATGATCAACACGACCCTCTAAGCGATGGAACAGAGTCGACATAATAATTCAGGAATTATACTGCCGGTGTCTACCAGTCACAGCTTCAAACACAGTACTTGCTGCCATAACGTTCCAATCGCTCATTGCGACTGGGGCAACTAAGGTGGAAGCTAATCCAGTTGGGTCAACTCAAAAGAAGACTCGGTACAAGAAGTAGAATCATGTTGGACTTTGAAACCGGTCTACAAGACCTAGTTGACAATGGGATCCATCATCTCCCAAGAGCAAACTAAACATCAACCAATCCCTTGCCTAACCAATGGGATTAAATCAAAAAAAAAAAAAAAAAATTGCTGAAGCAAGATCGTTCGATATCCTTGTCGAACTTTTCTTAAAAATGAATGAAGTTTTGTGTCTAGAAGGTTAGATCAAGCCTCCAAAAGAACAAAGGGCAATTGTTTCAATGACGCAACAACAACATGTCTGATCGACTTGAAGCATTGCGAGAAGAACAAAGATCACTAACAAAGTCAATCCATCTAGTGCGCATGCACAGTCCCCGAGAGTCTATCTGTTTAGGGGTTAGTTTCTTTTCAAGGTCGTTACAGTTCAATTCAAAGTTTGTAAGTCGAAGTGTCTTTTGAGTATCAGCAAATTGTATGTCTTAATCAGTAAGAAAGGGTCAGTTTAACCACGTTCCAATCATGTTTATACTCTTTCCCTATCCTTTCCTGTTTATCCTCGTAAAAGCACAAAAAAAAAAAAATCAAAAAAAAATAATAATAATAATTTTTTGAAAAAAAAAAAGTGATGGTAAAAAATAAGAGTAATAAAAATTGGCAAAGAAAAATGGCATTTATTTGCCTCTGGGCAATCAAATTCAAAATTGGGGCACAATCCATAAGAAAGCACCCATGCAAAGGAAATTTTATGAAGGGGTAATCATGGAAAGAGATCCCAGCAAAGGGTATGGCAAGGACTTCGAAACAGTACCGAGGAGGTAAAGCAAGATTGAGAGGGGTTAGGGTGCCAGAATGGTTCTCGAAAACCGCAGGAATGGGAAGATGCTCCGACAAGAGAGGGTGTCTGAATTTTGAGCTTAAAAAAGCGACAGTAATAAATGAAGTTTGTTTGGAATTGGGTTGGGGTCTGGGCAACGAAGTTGCAATCGGCTAAAATCCATGACGCTAACAACGTCATCTCAGAATCAAGTTGCCTCGCATGAATTAAGACTTTAACGTGAGAGGCTGGCTCTCTAAGCAGCAAAAGAGGAAAAGAACACACGTGGACAAAAAGGAACCCCTGGATCCAATAAGGAAGCAAACAAGCAAAGAAAAAAATGGGTCAAAAGGAACTTCTACGACAAAATAGAAAAGAAAATCAGAGGACAAAGCTACAGGAAAATGAAGTTGGTCAAAAAACGGGTCAACTGTGCAAGCTTCTCCCGTTAAATTCAAGCCGCATCAAAGGTAGATGAACAATATCATCAGCCATAAGAGGACAAAAGATAAGCGGTTGCTCATATTTTAAAAAAAAAGGCCAAGTTAAAAGAAGTAGTTCATTTCCAGCAAATTGGATGATAAACAAACACCTTAAAATCAAGGCGCAAAGCATGGCCACAAGTATATAAGGTGGTCCTTATAAACAAGGAACCACGATTTCTCCAAAACAAGGAAAGAGGAAAGAGTCTCCCCCAAAAATTACCTTATGCGGAGGGAGAGGAGAACCATTGAGGAAATAAGTTTCCAATCAGAGGAAGATCAAAAGGTTCAAGAAAAGGAATCAAATTAACTCAAAGAATCTCAACAATGGCGAAGCCACAAACTCAGCATAAAAGCTATCTTCAACACTCAAGCCACTCAAGTTACCACCACAATGTGGGTATTCAAAACTCTTTGTGATGAATACAAGTCACTATTCAGTCAACACAGTGGTAAAACCACTAGCAACAAACAAAGTCAGATTCTCCTAGGGTCAATCACTATCATACTGAGCGTCGATTTCAATAAGTTGATTCAACATCACTCAAAGTCGGGAATGAATCCGCGCAAAGACATACAAAGTAGGGGAAGGAATGCCCGCAAAGACATCAAAGTCAGGAAGGAATCACCGCAAAGAATCGAAGCGGGAAGGAATCCCCGCGAAGAAATCAAACTCAAAAATGAATTTTGCAATCACATCAAGCCGAGAAGGAATCCCGCAAAGACATCAAAAGCCGGGAAGGAATCCGCGTGAAGAAATCCAAGCCAGAGAATGAATCTGCATCAACATCAAAGTCGGGAAATAGAATCCCGCAAAGACATCAAGTCGGGAGGAATCCCGGCATAAGGAACATCAAGCTGGGAAGGAATCCCGCGAAGAAATCAGAGTTCAAAAATGAATTTTGCATCAAACATCCAAAGCCGAAGAAAGGAATCCCGCAAAGACATCAAGCCGGGAAGGAATCGCCGCGAAAAGAAAATCAAGTCCAGAAATGAATTCTGATCAACATCAAGTCGGGAAGGAATCCCGTAAAAGACATCAAGTCGGGAAGGAATCCGCGGCAAAAGACATCAAGCCGGGAAGAAATCCCGCGAAGAAATCAAGTCAAAAATGAATTCTGCAGTCAACATCAAGTCGGTGAAGGAATCCCGCAAAAGACATCCAAGTCAAGAATGAAATCAGCCGCAAAAGACAGGCAAGCGCGGGGAAAGAAAATCCGCGATAGAAATCAAAATCAGAAATGGATTCTGTATTAATATCAAGTCGGGAAGGAATCCGCGAAGAAACCAAATCGGAAATGATATTCCACAATAGCGTTAAGGGCAAAAATTGAATTTTGCCGCAACAGCAAAGTTGGAAATAAATTTCGCACGCGCCAAAGACGGAAAGGAATGTCCGCGCTAACGATCATAAGTCGAGGTAGATGAATTCCGGCAGCGTGCAGCCGAGCAACGGAAGTTTCGCATTCCCGGAAAAGAACTCACGAATAAGACCTGATTCTCCCCATCGCCCCGAAGATGTTCTTGGAGATACGGTAAGGCAGCGCACAAAGGGGCACGGTCACAAACATCAAGTTTGCATCATAAATCAGCAATTTTTCTCTTTGCCAATATAAAAAATAAAAAAAAATAAAAAAAAAGAGAAGAAAGAAATAAAATAAGCTGAGTTGAAAACCCGAAGGGCGGCTTCAGGCAAGAATTGAGCCACCCGCCTAGGCTAAAAAACCCGAAAAGGGCAAGCCTAGGCAAAAGTTATGGGCAAAAGAGCACTGTAGAAGTCGAAAACCCGAGAAGGCGCGGCTACTAGGCAATAAGTTAAGGGCCAAAAAGAAAAAAAAAAAGATGCTTTCAAAGGTCTTGCTTGGGGAGTATGATATAATCATTTTTTCCAGGGAACCACTGAATTCCTTCGAGTCAAAATTCACTACAAGAAAATTTTGAGTCTCTAAATTGAGTCTCCAAAAATCAAGTCTCCATCACCCAGTGGTTCATTCGACAGGCAACGAGTCACAAAAATCAGTCATTCTCAAAAAAAAGGGTTCGTTTATGAAACGTCATTCTTGTGAGTCATCTCCTCACGAAAAAGAAGAGAGAGAGGAAAATGTAATTCAATCACCCGGGGTTTCCAAACAACCGCCTAAAAAAAAATGTCAAACATAATCGTTGAGTTGAGGTAATTCTTATAATACGCTCATCTCGCACTACAGGACCATGCGTTTCTTCTTGATCCTTGTCTCAAGACGAGCCGATGTCAATCACACGATTGTTCGCTTCTCGAAGTCAATATAAGGGGCTTTGTTCTCTATGATTTCCTCCAATCGATTGGAAAGTACAACGCCAATGCGTCTTGAAGTATTCCATGGTCAGCACCAATTTGGGGTAAGTCAAGTGATAAGAACCGTTCACCATTCTCCCATCACCGACAGTGAAGTAATCACGCAAAATTTTTAGTCTTTCATAATAAGAAAAATTCTATTCAGCTATTAAGGGCAATCATTCTCCTCAAGGCAGGGGCAAAATCCTCGCAAGTCGGATTCAGGGGGCCAAAGTGTTAAAAAAGAAAAAACAACATGCAACAACCCAGGGTGAAACCCAAACTATACGTCAATCTCTTTTTACAAACCCAAGGGTAGAACCCGGTTAAATGTTACCTTTTTTTTTCATACAAAACCTAGGGTTGAAACCCTAACCAATAACCAACCATTTTTTATCACGATGCCAAAACCAAGCAATTGGATCATTTCGACTTTAGTGGACCCTTGTTCTCAAAGAAAAAAATAATCTTCTTTTCAAGCCCTCATTTAAGAGGCAAATCTCTTTACCCAAGTCCTCTAAGAGCAAAATCTCTTTTTCAAAGCCCCTTATTAAGGGAAAACCTCTTTTTCCAAGTCAGCCTCTAAGCAAGGCAAAAAATTTCTTATTTTAAGTTCCTCAAAGAGGCAAAAACATCTTTATTAGTAACAAAGCATAAAGTCCATGCATTTGTATCGATTTCATTTATTATAGAAAACCCACGGCGAGGTTTTCCTCTGCCATGGCCCATACCTCAAAATTTGCTCCTCAGACAGCCACTCGGCTCTCAATAAATCATTTTTAATGATAGCGCAGTGGGCTGGCAACGTGTGAATACCATTTTGAGAGCTGCAAAAAGCCAATTTTCCGCGGCCGCGTGATAGAGGGAGAGGAAGAGAAGAGGAGAGGAGAGAGAGAGGGGCCCCTCTAAGGTGGCGGCAGCCGGTTTATCAAGGCGCGCCGCCCCTGGGTGACAGCGGTCACTTATTCGAGCTGCAGTCGCCTGTGAATACCGGACAATTTGAGGTCTCGAAGAGCCAATTTTCCCGGACTGGAAGACAGTCCGACCGGACCAAAGGCCATTTTGAAAGTTCACGCGAAATATGCCCAATATGGGTTAAACGATTGGAAACGTCCGGACATCGCGAGGTATCGCGGAACTGGTCTCGGAATTTTTTTCGGGAGGTCGCCGGAGGGCTCCACGGAAAAGCCTCCGGAGCGAGATTTAGCAAGAAAACCACCAGGCATGGCAGCCCAGCCCGGCTGGCTTCCGGCAGACCCTGGCCCGCCGACGCCGGCACTCCGAGACAGGGCGGCCCAGCTGGCTGAGACTGGCGGGCCAGCCGCCCAACCAGTTCCGTTTCTTCGCACTATAAAGTAGCTGGCCTCGAGGCCTTCTGTTTTACCACATGCACTCAGTCTGTGGTTGAAGGACGCATCCTTCTCCCTTAAGCTCCTTGGCGATTCCTTTACTGCTTTTCTTGCATTTTATTTAGCCTCTTATTTATTTTCTTGTGCTTTGTTTATGTTGGTCATTTAAAAATTATAATTAATATAATATTCCCTTACGAGGAGCTTACCTAGGAGTGTAGAAATGGCCGTCGGATTAAATCAGGCACATGAACTAAACTCTGCTTATTTAATTTTAGCAATTTCATACATTCTTCTCTGCTACTACCTAATAATTCTAATAAACTTTGCATAAAATGCATTATGACATCTTTAGGCAAATAAACTGCCGTCAAATAAATAAGTGTGGTAGGGCTAAAACTGCTCGGTTAATAATTAATCGGTAGGTATTAAGCCTAAAATCCGACAAATATTGCTAAAATACCTTAGTTTAACTTAATAGCTATGGTATACGATCGCCTGTTTAATTTCGAACAAAATCTGGCTTAAGTCCAATTAATCAAATAATTGTGGCTAAAAAAATTTATCAATTACTAAAACACGTTTTTATTGCAATAAAAATTGTCTAGCATTAAAATCCAGTTAATCGACTTTTTGGGGCAAACACATTGCCTAATAAACTAGATTAACTACTTTCACAGCGAGCAAATCGCATTAAATCAATTTCTTTAGCAAATGGTCTAAAATTAATCAACTTATTTTGGCTAAAAGCCTTAAATCACAATCATTTTGGGACATTCGCCTAAAATACAATATCATCTTTTTTGGGAACAGATTGGCCTCCTAATGAACCTTTTTGGCTAAAAGCCTTCAATTAATCAAATCTTTTTGGCTAAAGCCTTAAAATCAAGGCATTTTGGTGAACAATCGCCTAAAATCCAAACATTTTGGCAACAATTGCCTGAACTTAATCTTTTTGGGGCTAAAAGCCATTAAAATTAACACGTTTCGCATCAAATGCCTAAAAAATCAACTCATCTTTGGGCAAAATGCAGCAAAGCATACACACACTCATGCATAAAGCATTGCCATTCAAATCCCCTCTAAAAGAAGGCCTACCGAACTACGTCGACTTTGATCTTCCATTCAAACCGGACAGTCAGTAGGCACGTTTGGGATTTAAACCCCGAGGCGGCAAGTCAACAATCCAAGATCACATTTCATTGATGAGGTCTAAATCACATTAAGTGTCACCACTCATTGGCTACAAGGGGCATACATCTCATGGGTGTAGTTCATGCAGCATGAACATAGTCTTGGGATCCAAGCCTCGGGTTTGGAGACCATGCCTAAATTCCATATATGGGTATAAATTAATCCTATAATTAGAGTTAATTTAAGAATTGGAGTCACTTAGGGTTTTTCCTAAGTTTACACCTAAAATAAATTACAACACAAGGTGGCGACCTCATAATATTCACGCGTGCATGTTTCTGTCTGCCCTTCTAGTCCGACATGCATTTCATAATGCCATAGAAATGATTTGGGGGGGGAGGGGGGGTTCACAGTTTCTATCAAGGTTGAGTCAAGAATTTTTCCAAGATAGCAGTAACCTTCTATCTAGACTATTGCAGTAGGCATGTTAAATTTGAGTTTTGTGAAGAATGTAAGGAGGCTATTTAAATAACAAGTTAAAGTCAACACTGAAGAAACGTTCCCTATTATTCAATGTCCTGAATTTGGTCTGTACCCATTTGACAAATTATGTGCGATGGCAAGTAAATTATGCGGTGGTACGGCTGATTTTAGGGGCAGGCGTGAGGAAAAACTTTTCATGTGTATTTTATGGGTGATGCATCCAGGACATTGAAATCTGCACTAGAACGTAATTACACTGCCAGCAAAACTGAAAAAAGAGTTCTTAAGGGCATAATTGTTTTTGGGCTTTAGTTAATAAAATTCGTCGGCTGGTCATGCTTGCTTATAATATCTAAAGTGGATTGTATTTATTCTGATCATGGCAGCCTTAAAGTTTCTCTTAAGCAAAGAAGGAAAAGCAAAGCCAAAGAATAATTAGATGGATTCTTCTTTTACAAAAGAAAGTTTGATCTCAAAGTCAAGGGATAAGAAAAGGTGCGTCGAAGAAATTGTGGTAACTGATGCATGTTGAGCAGTGGGTGACACAAGAGGATCCAATTGCCTTTACAAGAATTATTTCCTGATGAGCAATTGTTTAGTAATTACAAGGTAAATGATCCGCTTAGGGTATGGCTGAATATTTGGTGGAATTATGTTGGCTTACTAAACTAATGGCCCCTTTTGATTTAAGTAGAGCTAAAAGGAAAATTAAAGAGAGTGACATCTAAGTATTATGTATGGGATGAACCAGTATTTGTGGAAATTTTGTTTCTGATGCAAATTATTAGGAGAGATGTACCCTGATAATGAGAAGATTGAAATCAATTCTTGTTTTTTGTCATTCATGTCTGCACATGTGGTGTCATTTTGGACCTAAGGTAACAAGATAGAAGATAGGGAATTTGTGGTTCTTTATTGGCCTAAGAGCCATTATTGTGGTTTTTATTGGCCTACCATTTTTCATGATGCATATATTTTCTGTAAAAATTGTGAACAGTGTCAAAGAACAGGAAGTATATCTCGAAGGAATGAGATGAGTCAGACCCCAATACTTGTATGTGAAATTTTTGATGTGTGGGGAATCGATTTTATAGGTCCATTTCCTTCTTCTTTTGGTTTTACATACATATTACTTGTTGTTGATTATGTTTCCAAATGGGTGGAAGCTAAAGCCACCAGAATTGATGATTCTAAAGTTGTTGTAGATTTTGTCAAGTCAAATATTTTCAGCAGGTTTGGAATTCCTAGAGCTTTGATCAGTGACAGAGGCACTCATTTTTATTTTTGCGATAGAGGCACTCATTTTTGCAATAGAGCTGTGGAGGCATTATTAAAGAAATATGGTGTTTTTCATAGAGTTTCTACAGCTTATCATCCTCAAACAACTGGGCAAGCTGAGGTATCAAACAGAGAGGTGAAGTCTATCCTAGAGAAGATGGTGAAGCCAAATAGAAGGGATTGGAGCCTTAGACTTGATGATGCTTCTTGTGATGCTTTGTGGGCCTTAACAGGACAGCCTAATAAAGACACCCATAGGTTGTCCCCTTTACAGGTTGGTTTTTGGTAAGATGTGTCACCTTCCTGTTGAGATAGAACATAAAGCTTTTTGGGCTGTTAGAAATTGTAATTTTGAGTTAGATGCTGCTGGTGTGGAAAGAAAGTTACAATTGCAGGAGTTAGAGGAGATTCGTCTTGATGCTTATGAAAATTCTAAGATTTATAAGGAAAAGACAAAAGCATTTCATGATAAACTAATTTTAAACAAGGAGTTTGTGGTTGGGCAAAAAGTTTTATTGTATAATTCTAGATTAAAGTTAATGCCCGGTAAGTTGCGTTCTCGTTGGATTGGTCCATTTATTGTTACTAATATGTTTTCTTATGGTGCTGTTGAGATTCAAAGTTTAGAAACTAAGAAGGTGTTCAAAGTCAATGGCCATAGACTCAAGCCATTTTAAATGGCCATAGACTCAAGCCATTTATTTGAAGGATTCAAGAGCATTTCACTGGAAGAAATCAATTGAGGTGATCCAATTTATTTAGATTGAGAAGATGCGTGACCATCGAGCTAACGACGATAAAAAAAGGCGCTTTTTGGGAGGCAACCCAGATTTTTGCTTTATTTTATTTATTTATTTATTTGCAAATAAATAATGTCATCCTCCTCATTTTGCTATATATTTATTATCTGGATTCTTTTAGTTACTCTACCCAGGTATGTTTTCTGATATTCATTTCGGATTGTTTTGGTTCTGTTGCAAATTATACAGGTTTAAGGAAATTCTGAATTTGGGATAAATGTTTTGTGAATGATTAAATGGTTTATTTGTGATCAAGTTTTTGTTGAGTTAGTAGATTCAGTCTTATAGGTTTGTGCAGATTCCTCAGAATTTAAAAGTCAATAATGGTTAATATGACTGAAATACTGAATACTGATAGGAAATTCTGCTTTTATTCATTGACTTGATTACTTACACTGAGACCGCACTGCCATTATTCTGTTCTCATATTATTGCTGAAATTGGATTTTAGTTGGTATATTAGGCATTTTTAGTTTTCTTAGGTTTGTGCAGATTCCTTAGAATTTAAAATTCCTAAGAGATTAGTTGATTTGTTAGTTCTCTGCTATTTCGTTGAGTTAATTATTGACTTGGAAACGGTTAAGCTTGTGTTGATAATTTGTGCCTAAATTTTGAATGATGTTAGGATTTGAACATTGTAAATGAACTGATTTTCATTTTCAGGTGCAGGGCTGGATAGGTAACGTGTTGGCTAGGTTGATTTGTTAATAATTTTGGTCGAAAAAAGTGACAAGCCATTCAACTTATTTGCTTTTGCTTGTTTGTCTGGCTTGTGCTTTGCATTTTATTCTGTAGTAGGTACCCTTTACCGGACAACAGCTTGGCTTTTGGTTGCAATTTATTTGATGAGTAAATTTCAGCGAAAGAGGGCAGTTTTCTATTACTCTTGAGACCTTCCTCTTTAGATTTAATTGTGATTTGTCCACATTGAGGACAATGTGTAAAGTAAGTGTGGGGAAGGGTTTTATTATTAGGGGTGTTTTTTTTTTATGATTATTATGCTTCATGGTATAATAATGCTGCTGAATTTATGATGGCATATTGCTGAAATTTTGAGCTTTCTTTTGTTAAATAGCTATGTTAAATAGCTATTGCCAATACAAACTTATTTTTGCTTCATTTGTTTCTGCTGCATTTGATTAATGAATTGGTTGAGTTAGATGTTCAGGCACGTATCCAATGAATTTTTGAGTAAAATTTTTTTTGATTAATGATTTGAGCTGATTTTTGGGATTACTCCAAGGGTTTATTGTGTCCTTTAAGTAAGACTTGAAACTCTAATTTTTACGAAAAACTAAAGTTGCAAAGAATTTTATTCTTGGGTTTGAACAGTCCTTTGAACTGGGTTGAAAAGCAATTTCAATTAGTCTAACTAAGTCACTTTGACTGTTTTTGACTCTTGTGCATTTTTGAATAATTTGTTAAATTTGTGACTCTTTTAAACCTAAAATTTGAGGCTTGAGTTTAATTTTTATTGTATGAGCTAAATTTGGACCGTTACTTCTAGAATTCTTGGTAGGATACCTAGGTACAAAGATGAGCCTTTTATGTGTATGTGTTTTTGAGTCAAGAGAAAAGTCGGAATGAGTCAACAAGTGTAAGACTTGTAGCAGTCGGATCGCTTCGCTACCCAATAATGGGTAAAGAGCAGTGCTAGTAGCCACTTGAGCTCGTGACTTCATATACCCATAAGCGGGTACCATTGATGACAACTCAAGCACACGATAAATGTTCATATACCCGTAAGCGGGTACCATTGATGACAACTCAAGCACACGATAAATGCTCAAGCTTCTTGAAAAAAAAAAAAAGCTTTCTTTTGTTTTTATTTAGTCTTTGCATGTATGGTCGCGATGAATTGTTGTACTTTGGTGAGTTACCAAATAATTTTTTGAGGAACGGTTATCAACTTTTTGTTGTATGTGCTTAATTTTATATATTCAAGCCTTGGATTTTATGTTTAGGAGAGTCTGAATTCGACTTATTAGTCTTGCTTGCACTTCATTCAAACTTAGTCAATTTAACTTTGCTTAGTAATTGACTTTATTTTTCCGATTGTTCTCATAAGGATTGTTTAGGGTCGAGAAGAGTTCTTCCCTTTATGTTTAAGCTATGTTTTGTTGAGGTTTTTAAGTCATGCTTGAGGACAAGCCCCCCCCCATGGATTTAAAGGTTTTTTTTTGTGGGGAAGTTTTGAATAAGTGCATTATCAAGTGCTTTTAAGTGCTTTTATTGTCTATATTCGTATGCATTTTTGGGTTATTTATGTGCTTAATTCACTTTGTTAGACAATTTTTACCAATTAGACATTATTTTAGTTGCATTTGGAGTAATATGATTAAATTGGTAAAATTCTAGCATTTTTTTTATCTTGACCCTTGTTCGGTTTTTCAGGGATATCTGGAGTTGTAGACCTTCAAATTGGATTCGGTTTGATGCTCTGGAAAGATGAAATAAAGTTCTACAATTGTCAAAAGGAATCAGAAGCTAATTCAGTCTCAATATTGATCAAATTCAGCTCTGAATTTGAAGCTATGTGCTGTATAACTGTATAACTTTAGCACAACCTGTTCTGTTGTGGACTTTCCATATCTGGAGTTCCAAGTGTCCCAAAACAACTCAGCCCAGGCCCATTGAATTCTAAGAAGACATGCCCTAACAGTTGTTGTGAAGACCAATTAAATGAAAATGAAGTCGTTTTGGTCTTCAAAAAAACGTTCATAGAAGATTAACGTTTTGAAGTAGAATTCTGCTTCAATCTGATTTTGTCTTTAAGGTCATATTCCTGGTTTGGTAGATGTCCGTTTGGGCGAGCTTAGCTCGTTTAGAAAGGCGGAGAGAGAGAATTTTCAAAAATTTAATTGAGGAGTCGGAGCCAAGATTTGGACAGAAGATGCTGAAATAGGGGAGAAATCAGAACAGCAAATATTTTCTGTTTACTGCTTTTTGAATTTCCCCAATTGAATTAGGGATTCTTTTTCCTTCCTTTTGGAGGTGTTATATATGGAGTGATTCTACAGCAGCAAGGGGGCACGTTATTCTTCTCTTAGTTCATCTATTAATCTAGGTTTTTGTTCTTTATTTTTTGTTTTGGTGATTGGAAGCCATGATTATAAGTGGCTAATTTCTTTACACCAATTCAAGGGATTTATCATCCTTGTACTTTTGTGAGACTCGGGTTTTAAACGAGTAGTTTCTTCTTGAATATCTATTGTTTCTTGTTCTTATTGAGTTGATTCTATTGAATTCTTTGCTAAAAAGGCCTATTAGTGAATTGTTTGGTAGGATTAAGTGCTATTTCAGATTTCATAATCCGTAATTATTATGAAAGTTTGAATGTTAGTAGCAATTAATGTTAGTAGCAATTAGATATTATTGATTATATTTCAGGTTTTCAGAATAATCTATAGAGACAATAGGGTTGAATTAAATGGTTTATGCTTTATAAATTGTTGTTCAAGTTTAACTGCTCCCTGATTCTTAATGCTTTTATTAAATTGAGAGGGATTGCTTAATACCCGATCGTTTAATAATTAGAGTTAATGAGGGTGCTGGCTCAAGTTAACGAAATAGGGGAGTTTTGGGAATTTATCATGCTTTTTGGTAAATTTCAGTTAAGTATTCAAAGAGTAATTAAATCATAAGTTGTCTGTATAGTGTTCTGTGATCAATTCGTGCATTGGATTAGAAATCACCTATGAATTGGTTTTTCAGCAATTATGCATTACTTATTTAGGGTTGTAATTAATTAGATTTTGCTTTTTGAACTATGAAGGTTGATAATTTGTTCACAATACACCCCCTTCTTTTAAACGACGAATGAGGTTCAAGAGCTCAGTTTCTCTAAAGGTTCGCCTGAATTCCACCACTGGTATCTACAGTTTAAAGTGTCCAGTAACTTTAAATTTGGTGGAACCGACAAACACACTTAAGGTATAAAAAATGGGAAGTGTTTAGGCACCCATTTTTACCTGGTTAAACTGGATTAAGATTTCAGTCTCTAAGGTTCGACCTGAATTCACCACTTCTACAGTTAAATTCAGTAATTTAAATTTGGTGGAACCGACAAACATCACTTAGGTATAAAATGGGAAGGTGTTAGGCACCCATTTTACCTGGTTAAACTGGCCTCCTCATTGTCCAAGGATTCACAATTAATTAATAATGCAATTAACTAAATTTGAGATGTAAAGTAATTTTAATGCAATTTTTAGAAAATATGTCATTCACACAAAGTATTGCAATCATGATAAGCATGAAATATAAGACAATGAATGAGGTAGGAGAAAAGAATTACAAACCAACCTTACCATTACAATGTATCCTTACCCCTCCAAATTTCCCATATCCAATCTAACTATTACAAACTAGCTCTTTAATGATATCCATTAAGATCTCTAACATTATGCAATAATAACTAATACAACACAATAAGAAATAATCATCCAACAAACAATCATAAAAACAAGAATGATAACCCAACACTAAA